ATCTAGTTGTTAACAAGGAGTATGAATGTGTGATTACTGCTTGGGAACTAGTAAACATCATATAATGCATATCTACCCAAATGTTGAATAAAGTATGCACCGAAACTAAGAATTCTTATTAAAACATCATATAACACATAACTATTTGGGGCACATAATTTTGGTGCTTTGACTGCTTTCCAAGCCTTGGAGTTATTGAATCCTGTCTGGACATCTTACAGGCATTGATGAATGTTAACTTTTAAATTAGATTCTGTAACTTATGAGAATGAAGAAACGTTAAATATTGAGTTTTTTTTGGTGTAATAAATTATTGAAATTATTGCCACACTATTATAGATTTTTGCTTTTTATGATTATTATTAGGTGCCAGTCACCTATTATATAATGCGGATTGAACAAACATTTTCAATCAGATGGTATCAATTTCTTGATATCTAGAGAAGAGTTTGATGGAATGTGATGATTTTTAATTGGTTCTGAAATTGTGCAGCAATTGAAGGATGGATTATTCTGGTTACTGGAGTTCATGAAGAGGCACAAGAGGATGATCTACAAAATGCGTTTGGCGATTTTGGGGAGATCAAGAATTTGCATTTAAATCTTGACCGACGTACGGGTTTTGTCAAGGTAAACTAAAATTTTCCTTTGAGATCCCTCTACAAAAGATGGATTACCTCTTATGATTGGCCTGAATTATTATCTTCTTTTGATTGGCCTGCCATGAATTGAATAGGATAAATGAAGAATGCATACCTGAAGAATTTAATATTTTGGGTCATTGAGTGGGTCCTGTATGGACTAGGGAGCTATTCAACTTAAAGAAAGAGATGAAACATATACGCCAAAAGTGTCCCCTTAGGGAGCTGGTATAATTGAACCACATACTGGCACATGTCCTCTTTTGTTTAAAAAGAACACTGAACTAAAGAAAAAACTTGCAAAGAAAAAAGAAATAAATTTATGGTAGTAATGAAAGTAGATCTACAAAGAATAAAAAGAAAAATACTAGAAGTCATGATGTGATTGAACCCTGCCAGTACCAGCTTCGGAGGATGGCTGTGCTTCCGATTTTTTTGAACCAATGAAAGGAAATTCCATTAGAACATATAATAGAGGCTGGAATGGGGGACTTGCATTTGACCTTGGTAGATTGGAAATAAACTCCATCTGTCATCGAAGGAAAATGGTGTGTGTTCACCCCGGACATCAGCAACTTCCTCTCACAACTCTTAGTTTTTTTTTTGATAAGTAATCATGAAATTTTATAAATCAAAAACAAAAGATAATACACAAGGAGTGCATTCTCAGTTTAAACAAGATAGAAACGCTAAAAAATTAGGCAACCCTTCTATCGGACTATTGGTTGCGGCGTTAAACCAACTATACAAAGTCAAATAAAATAATTCTTTAAACTGCTCTGTCGTCCTCGTTTGATCTTCAAAACACCGGCCGTTTCTTTCTCTCCAAACACACCAAATAAGCATAGCCCTAATTTTATGTAGGGCTCTGCTTATTTGCCAATCTGTGCTTGTTTATAGGGATGGCAACGGGGCGGGGCCCTTGCTCAATTTACTATCCCGTTTAATTTTTATTTAATTATTTATTTAGAGCATGTTTGGAAGTGATTAAAATCCAATTAAAATTGAAAAATTAGCCGTTATTGGGTCTCACTCGTCTAATAAAAGTCAACAATAACGGTTAGTTTTTCAATTTTAATCTCTATCGAACACGCCTTTATTTTAATTCATTTTATTGCCTCCATTCTTTAGACCGAGACAATAATATATTTTTTAATCTTTACTTATTTTTAAAAGTTAAATTATTCAAATATATTAGGTAAACTAAGACTTTTATTGCTTGTCATATTTTTTAGATAATTTTAGTTGTGATTTTTTATTAGAACTAATGAAATTTCGTGAATTTTTCTATTTAAAATATTGAATTCTAAAAAATAAAAAAATTAAACGGAACGGGGCACTCGTTATCCATCCCCGCCCCGAATACCCGATTAAGCAGGTAATTCCCGCCCCGTTCGGGTTTTTTTGCCACCCCTACTGGGACTGTTGCTTAAAGCTCCTGTATCATATAGGATCACATCCTCTGTGGCACGGAAGCTTCAACTAGGCGTTGATACGACACTTCTATGAATATTTTTCATTTTTCATTAAAAATATTATATATTTTTAACTCAAAATTATTAGTAAATAACAAATAAGTACTCATGTAAAAGATTTCAATAAGAAATATTAATAACAAGTATAAAACTAAATTTATACTATATAAATGAAGAATTTTAAAGAATATAATCAACGTATCGGGGACGTGTCGTGTTAGTATCTTTTTGAAAAATTGCTTATTGGTGACACGCATCGTGTCGGACACACGAATCCGTGTCGGTGCATCATAGATCACATCCTTTTAAGGAATTTTTTTTTAGTCACTGCTTGAAATACCTTCCACATTATGGCAATGTGTGCGTCACTTTAACCGATCTCTTTGCTCTTAGGATGAGAGTGGAGATAGTTAAATATAAACTTTTACCTTGGCAAGAACATTAGCAAATATATACTTAATTAAGGCCCTGTTTGGTACACATTATGTTTTTCATTCTCATTCTTCTACTCATTTTCAACCACACATTCTTCAATAAAATAATATTTTCCATCACATCAATAACTTTTCCTTTATTTTTGACCACACATTCTCCATCGGTCTACTATTCAATATTCTTCAATAAAATAATATTTTCCATCTCATCAATTACTTTTCCTTTATTTTTGACCACTCATTCTCCAGCGGTCTACTATTCAATAATACATTCTTTCACAAGAATGTGTCCCAAACACACTTTAAATGAATACTTTGTAGTTCTTCACTTTATCATTTGGAGATGCTGTCACCATGTCGGAAAGCTGACCTTTTTCGGTATTAAGACATCGATTTCTGAATTCTTGCTGAACAACAGTCTGCATATAAGAAGATTCCCCGTGTTTGTCATTTATTATTTTAGTGAGAGTACCAGATTTTGTTTATGTACCTCAGTTTGCTGTGGCTTGCTGTTAGGTACTTTTAACTAACTTGGCACATTGACCTGTTACGTAGGGTTATGCACTAATTGAATATGAGAATTTTGAGGAAGCACAGAAAGCTATAAGTGAAATGGATGGGACAGAACTCCTCACCCAGGCGATAACCGTTGATTGGGCATTCAGCAAAGGTCCATTCAGGAGGAGGAATATGAGGAGGAGGTACATGTTCATGAAGTCTCATGTGTTTCTTATTATTTATATCATCTTCTTTTCATTTTAAGTGAGCATACATTAAAAATGTTAAACATTGTGAATTTCTTGATTTGTTAATTTCCCCGATCGATGAGGACTCAAATCGTACTTGCCCATCCTTTTGGGCACAGGGATGCGAGACCAATCCGAGTAATTCACCACTTTTTTTTTAGAAGCCTTCAACAAGATAGGCCGAGGCGCTACAACCCGTATGGTGTAGGAGTGCTCACATTTTTTGGCTTACTCTTTTACTTGAATTTCCAAATCAGTATTGCGATCTAATAATTGTTCAAACTTAAATTGGATGCCTTATTTAACTTTGTAAAGAGATTGCTACTAACCTTACAGTGTTGAAGCTTACTCTATGATGATTCTATTGATAAACATCCCTGAAACTTAGATTTTCACGTTTTGCCCCCACTCATTTATTTGATAAGGTCCTTTTTTTAATGATGGATCTTAATCTTCCTCCTCTTTTGACATTTACATAATCTTGTCCATTTTGAAATTATTTTTGCAGATCACCTCGTGGTCGTCGTTCTAGAAGTCCCAGGAGGAGATTCTGATGTTGGCGGCTTTTGAAGAATTTTGTGGCTTTCCATTTAGTGTTAAGAAATCGTTCTGATAGTTGTGGACCGATGCTAAAATTTAACCATGTGCATGATTGTTGTTTTTGATGAGGATTTGTATTTCCTTTCCCGTTGGATAGATAACTTTATCTTCAGTTTATATGTTACTGTTAATGGATTGTCAAGTATGCGTTCTTTGCATTGAGCTATGGTTTCGCTTTGGGAACCTGTTGCACGTAAAAGGGACATTCTGATGAATCTGTTTGTTATCTGTAATGATGTATGTCGACTGTACTCTGTTCATTTCATCAACTTTTCAATCACATTTCATTAAATTTTATCAAAATTTACTACAAAATTGATCTTTAGCTACTACAGGGGCTAAGTTTCTTTTGAATTGTAGGCTTCACAGTCAGTAGTCCAATTAATCTCAATATTTTGATTGCAATTCAGGGATACTTTAAAGGACTGTGTGACTGTGGATGACCGCAAGCAATGAGGGATAATGGATTAGATTCTCTCTGGAAAAGATTTAATCTTTTTGTCAAAAGCACAATATTGATATTCTTAACAAGGATAATATTTATATACTTTTAGGTCGTTATGGCGACCTTACAGTCTAAAACGACGCGTCACTATTAAATTCCAATGTGGACATAAACGGCGTTAATTAGTATATCATGTTAGATAAAGTTGTGTTACGGTTTTTTTGCCTATATGTTCGATTCTTATGTGCAGTCGGATGTTGAACTTCATGTTTTTTCCTTTTAAGTTTTTGAAGGTGAGGTAATTTTATTTCACGTGATGCACTAGTTAACGTCGTTTATGTCCACGTTGGTATTTTAATAAGAAAATTACTTTTGCGAATATTATCCCACTGCTCCACTTATCTTGCCATGACACCCCTATGATCTCACTGCGAAACCCTTTGAACGCCAACATTAACTCTCTCTCTTTCACTCACACAGAGTGATGTATGTATATATTTAAATACAATGTAGACAGAGAAGGGTAGTTCTTTGTTGAATAAGTGAATACAGTTATTCACTATAACTCGTTAAAGAATATAAACACAGATGGAGTAGTACACAACATTTTGTATTTCATTTTGACCACTTTTTTGGGTACCAGTTGAAAGTTTCTTGGTATGGAAATAGAGGTGGCAAGTGGCGGCGGAGGCGATGGAGGTGCAAATTCTAGCAGCACTGGTGATGATATTGAGAAGGGACTAGGGCGGAGCTTACTTGGTTTGGGAAGATTTAACGGTGCCAAGAAATTGCTACATGGACTCAACGGTTATGCTGAGCCTGGAAGAATCATGGCTGTTATGGGTCCTTCTGGCTCTGGCAAATCCACTCTTCTTGATTCTTTAGCAGGTCCCTCCCTCCTTTTCTCACGATATCGTTATGATCAATTAATGAGATTTGACCCGAAACTATTCTTTTCTCTATCATTAGCTCGGATAGTCGTCTTTTCCTTTTCCTTTTTGTATCTTTGGACCTGGCTAGAAATAATCATTATCGGCACATACGTTATTGGATCCATTCACTATCAACCCACATCAAATCTCGAGTTTAGGGTACAAGTATCCTTTTGTTTAAAGACAGTTCGAGCTTTGTTTGAGGGCATGACGTGAGAACTATTTCATTCGTCTCTTGTCCTCAATCCCGAGCATGTAGATGGGAAAATATACGTATGTATATATTTCAGTAAAGCACATTTCAACATTGAGTTTTTACAGTGTCACAATTAATAGGACAGCGAAGTAGTTGGTTGAATAAATGAGGTGTAGGCTAATTTCCATGTATGATCTGTCCTTTTCCAGTGACACAGCACCTAGGCTCTGTTTGGTACACATTATTTTTTTCATTCTCATTCTTTTACTAATTTTCAACCACACATTCTTCAATAAAATAATATTTTCCATCACATCAATAACTTTTCTTTAATTTTTAACCACACATTCTCCATCAATCTACTATTCAATAATACATTATTTCAAAAGAATGTGTACCAAACACACTCCTAATAAATAATTTATCATAGGAATTAATCCTTGTACCAAACTGTTTAAAGATGGGATTGAATTGAATATTTTGTTTTCTTTGATAACCGTGGATGTCCGATCAATTTGTGCGCACCTTGACTAATTCCACGAGATCCTGAAGGGACTCGAACTGGTGATCATTGGAGAGCAAACCCAAGGTTACAATTGAGCGACCCCTCAATATTGAATTGAACATTTAATAGTTTGAAATTTAACATGTACTATGGATATATAATGTTTATGATACGACGATTGAGCAATTAATTGCCGTACTCTATTTTATTTTCTTTGAGTGCATCTTGTATGTGAATGTAGAAGAGAGAAATGTTCTATTTAGTATAAAAGGGACAGCTAAAAAATGTGTTCTTGACAATATGTTACGATAAATGTGAAAAACTAGTAGCATGGTTCGACGTGCATAAAAGCACATTTTTTGAACATTTTTGTATAATGCCTAAAAAGTTGCTTTTAAGTGCGGCCAAATGTGAAGTGGTCTAGACCGGTAAATGAATAACTTGTTTGTTTTCATTTCTCTGTTCACCAATCTTTAACTTTTTTCTAAAATTCTAATACATTTTTCTCGATAAAATTCAACCATAAAATTCAAGCTTGCAAATTCAGTCCTTGTTTGAGCCCCATTTTAGGGGAAAAAAAAAAGTACTTTGGAGAATGCGTGGTTAAAAAATAAGAAATTTTTTTCGATTTATGTGTAAATTTATTTTATTCGAGAATGTATGATTGAAAATGAGTTTTTTAATAAATCGGGGCTCAAACAAGGACTTATTGATCCTGAATGGATAAGAAAAATATTATTTCGATCCACATAAAATCAGATAGTGAGCATTGCCATGAGTATTTTAAGACATTGATTGCAGTACCATATCATTCGAGATTCAGCTAAAAGTGAATATGAGAGCGAAGTACCAATGCTTGTCATGAACTAGGTTACAATTGATCGTGGAATTTCATCCTGGAATGCTATTGTGAGACTGACAACTCTTTCGTCACTTGTGTACAAGGAGATGGTTTAATATTATCGACGATATCTGGGAGCACGACATATTCCCTGGCAGTTGGAGGATCGATGGTTCATCACCACGTACGTCTTGAACCATTTGTCATCCCGTCTATTTGTCATTTGAGCTTCTTAGGCTAAGCTTAAAAGAAGTACACGTTACTTTTAAGTAAGAACGTGTCTGGGAATGTTTAGAAGCTGAGGATCCTACAAAATGTGTGTTAATAATTGTGAATTCTACAAAATGTGCGGATAAAAAATAAGTTTGACCAGATTAAATTACAATTTAAGTTTTGTCAAACACGCACTAACTTTTTATAGCAAAATATGTTGAACAACGTGATTAATTTTATTGGGAGTCCTTATAAGATGTGTGTCGAATATTAAGTAATAGTTGTGAATTCTACGAAATGTGTAATAAGTATGTTTGACCAACTTAAATTATAGTTTAAGCACATCAAACATGCACAAACTTTTTATATCAAAGTATGTTGGACAATGTGTTTTTCTTGATTAATGCTCTGTTAGACCATCCCATGAATAGCTTCAATTGATTTTCAGGTTTCATGGTATCCTATTTAGACCAATTTGCCCACACTCTCTTATCCTTTCGGCCTTTGATATTGACCCAGCATGTGAATGTTCGAGTAGTTGTGCCTTTCAATAGCAGAAGCCATGCTTGGGTATCGTTTGATGGCAAGGTTCGGAAACAATTGGGACTAGGCGATGCACTCATGTGCAGCATGGCACCTTGGCCTGTTCCAACAGCGTGCCAAGTTGATTCGACCCGTGACTTTCTACGCAGCATCCATGACGGCAGGGGCGGAGCCAGGAATTCATCGTACGGGGGGCTAAATATTTTAAAATGTAATATACGAATAAAATTTATATATAACTAGAAAAATTGTCATATAACGTTACATATTACAATTGTACCCGACGATGTTTTATAGCATAAAATTCATCTATAATAGAATCTAAATCTAACGTTACATATTACAATTGTACCCTGATATTTGTTACTCTTTGAAAAGAAAGATAACAAAGTTCTTCCTTTCTTGGAAGAAGGTCGATCTTCCTCCATATGAAACCTAAGAGCATAAATGTCAAAAACAAAAAAAAACTTTAATATCCTATGAATTCCTATATAAACTGCGGTTGACTAAATTTCCAAACTAACATTTACTAAAAAAATGCCTAATTGAGACACTTCCAAATTCAATTCAAAAACTAGAAGCAGATGTGCTATCAATNCACATCAATCCCATGATTCCCATCTCAGCATCTCTATTTTCTAATTAATTAATAACTTTGATAAAAATAATTAAAGCTAAGCAACACTTAAAAATAATTAGAGCTAAGGCTAAGCACAAAGCACAATGCATACGTCAATCCTTATCCCATGATTCCCAGAATCCATCTCTATTCTCAACTGCTGAAGTACAACGGTCTAACGGATATTCCTCTGAATGAATCCCTCGATTCCCCTCATACATCCATAAATCCGCACGTCAAAGAAAGTTTTCAGTTTTAATTTTAACCTTCTATATATTTCTTTGTATTAAAAGAAAAAACAAAGAAAATAATTAATTACTGACCTCAACAATGGTATCTGTAGGTTCGGAATCGGCTGATACTGGGCGGACTTCGGCGATAAGCAATCGGCGTTTAAGGGTTTCACTTTTGCACCTTCGGTAATGGGCGACAGGGCAAGAATTGGAAGAAATTGTAGAAGAGCCTTGCACAAGTAAAGAAATGCAAATTAGGTGGATTTAATTTTATATAAAAAGCAAATTGGGTTGGACATTTTTCCAATTGGGCTTGAACAGTGGGCTGGGTGGATGGACAGTGGGCTACCATGTGTTGGATTGTGGAAAAATTGGCTGTAAAAAAAAAAATTTAATTTTTTAAGAGGATCTTGGCTTGGACAAGGGTGGGCTACAGCCCACCCCTATCTCCGCCAATGCATGACGGTCTTCACTTGAATTTGAGGAAGACTCAATCTTTCGATGGCCTGCGCAATCAACGAATAACAATTTTCCTGAAATCAATTTTCATTATAGATAATCAAGAATAAAATAGCTTGATGAGATACAAGTTATGTTTAAGTAATTGATGTACATGTTATTGTTCTTTGTAGTTAGGGGTGTGTTTGAGCCATATTATTTTGGAAGAATGTATTTTTGAATAGTAGATTGATGGAGAATGTGTAGTTGAAAAAGAAGGAAAAATTATTGATGTGATGTAAAATACTATTTTATTGAAGAATACGTGGTTAAAAATGAATAGAAAAATGAGAATGAAAATTTTAATGTGGCTCAAATAATGACTATACCTAAAAATCATATTGCAAGAAATGATTTAGGATAATTTCTGAAACCTCCATGATCAAACTTCCCTACCCATGTGGTGCGACGAGATTACTAGCAACTGGTTTATGGTCTATATTATAGGAAAGTACACTAACAGCGTCGTCATATGCAAATATAATTGCAAGCTTCCTACTCGAATATGTGTGTTTATGAACATTTAAGCTCATCGGCTTGTGCGATAATTTCCAAGACACCGTGTGGCTGTTTGAGGGAAGTTTTTCAAAATTGCCTTAATTATTTACATTTGTTGGATCTTCTCGTGTTCGATTTCTTGTTAGATGTGTTAGCATGTTAAATTTTTCCGGCTAGTTTCTTTCTTAATCTTGTTTATATCTATCCAGTACAACATCTTAATGCAATTTTGTGTGTAAAGTCATTCTTAGATCTCCCGGAAAAGAAATTAATGAAAGGAAAATGTTTTGTTTCCCAAAAAAAATTAAAACCGATTTTTTGAAATACTTATACATGTTTGAGATTGCGTATCTGAATATGAGAGTTAATTTTTAAAGAAAAAGATCATCGTTTCTTAGCGACGTAAGATGGGGTCGATTGGTCTGCACGAGGACAATAAATGCCCGACCTCATCCCGAAGCCCGACCTAATAATTGGTGCAATCAAGGTCAAGTGAGATCGGGCAATAACCTCGAGCTCGGGGTTATTATTATTATTAACCAGAATCAATAAATCGTGAATCACGTTAACCCCTAAGTTTGACCATTCGAGTACGTGTTCCATGGCATTGGGATCACACCTAACATTCTCAACCTTTTAATTGGCACGTGTAAATTGATTATTTTATTATTTCTTTTGACATATTGATCAATTACCTTTGTTTATTTTTGCACTTATACCCTTCAACTTTTTCATATCATTAATTAATTAAGATATTTTATTTGATGACGGTTTTCTGTCTTAATAGTCTGTTAGCGTGCTTCAAATCAAGGGTAAATATTTTGTGGAGTTTTGAATTTGTAAATTTAATTTTACTTATTTAAAAATATGAGCGACAAATAAGTTCTTTTAAGCCCTATAAATATTTTAGGTGAAAAATGTCATTAAAGACAAGAAACACTTGCTAATAAAAGGTTGTGATTTAAGCAAAACTGAATCAAGATTTAAGAATTTAATAGCGATAAAAACATGGTGTGGTTAAAAAAGTAATTATATGAAGATTGTGTTTCATAATCATTCAACATGTAAGGTCAAGAAGCTTAACCCTAAGTTCCACGAAAAACCAATGATTCAAATACGATTGAATACAGTCTCCGATGAGAATTCTTCCCATGGAATCCAGAATTATACCAAAATCGATCGGTTCTATTTGGTCTAAACCTATATTTGACTCATATTTATAAACAATCGAAGTCATTTTTTTCATGGATAATGCTCCTTGAATGGGGGCTGCTGATAGGGATGGGGTGACGGGATGGGATGATAGCACCTAATTGGGTTTTTTTTTTTTAATTTGTTCAATCATGTATTGACACGAGCCCCTTGTTTTTGAATCTATCATTGAACTTGTCACTTTAGCACGATTCTTTTTATATACATCTCCAGGGATCCACTTTGGGGGACCCAACCATGGTAGGCAAATAGTCCATAATCACCCGGGAAAATTGCAGTCAAGGTATCAAATCTATCGCTTATTTGCAGACTTTGTCCAAATCTTTAATTTGTATCACTTACGGTACCAAACCTTTAAAAAATTGCAGCCCAAGTCCAAATTGACGGATTTCATTAGTTTGACATTAAAAACTATCATCGCGTGTCTAAGCCACTGGAAATTGCCCCTTATGCCCGCCACCAAAATGTTTCCTCAATGGAACTCAAATTTTCAGTAATCTTCGAATTTTCAGTAATCTTATTTCCATTCTCAATTTCAACATTTTCAAGCCGTAAATCTCTATTTGAGATCGGGAAAACTGGTTAGATATGACCATTGTAGAAGATTTCATTGGCTGAAATTGGAGAAGAAAATTCAGCCTCTTTTGCAACAAATGCGAATTCAAATTGAGTAATGTTATTCACCCTTAATGGAGTTACAAACACAGTTTAGGTAGCTCTAAATGATATGTTAAATGAAAGGTAAAATTAAATAACTTATTTAATTTCACCTATCATTTAATGCCATATCATCATTTTTATCTTCTTTTTCTACATTTTCAAGATTTGCTTCTTCTGCGACTTTTTGGGTTGATGGACTTTCTTTGTTTTCTATACAAATTCATCATAAAATTCTTCAAAATTACTAAATTCTTCCACAACTCGAGCTGCGATTTCTGCAAGGTTATAGTTAGAGTAGCTATTGAAGCTCGGTGAAAGCGAGAGGTCCGGACCCGTATGCATTTCTAAGCTAAACCCAGTTGAAAACTTATTGAAAATTGCCTTATGAACTCTATAATTAATTTTCTATGAGCAAAAAATACAGCTGAAATCTTATTCGAAATTGCCTTGTAAACACTATAAGTCGTTGTATGAAAGGAAAATACTTTCGATATCTGATGCAAGGAAGATATCTGAAAAATTCAACTATGGTAAAACCCGGCGGGTTGAGGGTGGCTTAGGCGGCGGGTATGAGGGACAATTTCCGGTGGCTGAGATAGGAGGCAGGTCGGCCGAAGGTTGTGATTTTGTTTTTTGTTTTTTTTTTAAATTTTTGATTTAATATGAGAAACATATTATGTCCAAAATACCTTTAGCTTATTTGGAAAGAATTATTAAATTTTTAATTTATGAGGTCAAGTGACAGTTTTTAATGTCAAACTAACGGAATCCGTCAATTTGGACTTGAGCTGAGATTGTTTAAAGGTTTGGTACTGTGGTTTGTACAAATTAAAGATTTGGGCAAGGACCTGCAAATAAGTAAAAGGTTTGGTATCTCGGCTGCAATTTTCCCTAATCGATTACCTACTCCCTCAAACTCACCAACTTCAATACTGTTTAGGAAAAAGATTGTCTCCCTGTACAAAACAAAGATAAACAAAAGGTTTGGAGAGAGCAGGGCAAAGGCGTGAACCACGACCAAAATGCCGATCTCCGCCAACATTACCTCCACCACACCACCACCGCGCTTTCTCTCACTCCACAACCATCTCCCTTCATCCGCCTCCGTACCTCGTGCTTTCTCGACTGCCAAAACCCACCTCATTTCACTCTCAATAACCACAAACCCCACACACCACCGTTCCCTATTTTTACCATTTTCCACCAATTCCTCAGTCACTAACACTGACATTATCACCGACATCTCCAGCGGCGGAGGAAATGGAGGAATCGGCGGAGGAGGCAACAACGGCGGCGGCGGAGGTGGAGATGAGAATGGAAATAATTGGAATGATGATAGTAACAAGAAAAAGAATAGAGATGAAGCTCTAATGGAGGAAATAATTGGAATGATGATAGTAACAAGACGAAGAATAGAGATGAAGCTCTAATGGCGTTGGCGGAGGCCGGGAAGGGACTTGAGAACTTGCCCAAGGACTTGAAGGCCGCCATAGAAGACGGTAGAATACCTGGATCCATTGTGATTCGATACTTCGAACTCGAAAAATCTGCTTTCATTTCTTGGTTAATGAAGTTCGGCGGATTCAAGGAGCGGTTGTTGGCTGATGATCTCTTCTTGGCTAAAGTTGCCATGGAATGTGGCGTTGGAGTTTTCACCAAGGTAATTAAATTCAATGGAATCAACAAATTCTTCATTATTATTCTTGTGAATTTAAGATTGTACCTTGATCAGATTAGGTGACAAATTATATACTTTCACACATAATTCTCTACTGTAATTACTATATTTTCGCAGTTCAAAACGTGCTCTTTTTTGTATTTTGGTTGATTTGTAATATTATGTTCCATTGCGTCATTCATCTACATTGAGAAGCTCTGGCATATTTAGTTTGACGAAATAATAATAATAATATTATTGATAATAGTATTTAATTTTCCCAAGTTCACGAGATTTAGTAAATAAGCAATGTGATAATTTCGATTTGTATCATATTTTTGTCATTTTGATTTCTTGTAACTTTATCTGTTTTGGTTTAAAGTAATAATTTTATAAAAAGAAAAGTATATAAATAAGTAAATGACTGATACTAAATGGTTCTCTATGTTTCTTAAGATTCTGGAAGGTTATATTGTAAATAAATCTTTGAAAATACACATGCTTGTAGCAGTTTTTTCCTGCCTTCCTATTCTATCATTCTCATTCCTATGGTCCTCCTATCCTTCTTGTAAAGACCCACTTTAACAATATAGATAAATGATCTGTTCCTTGCAGTTTTTGTGAAATGTCAGTGGAGTGGTCAATTAGGAACAGAAGATACCATCTTTTATTCTATAAAATATTGGTAACTGATATATCCACTCTTTGGCGGGGTTGGCTCTAATTTGAACACAACTTTGCATCTCTTTGTTATATGAGAAAACGAAAAAAAAAGAAGAGAAGTTGCCTCGAATCATATTCCATGCTTTCTACAAGCAAAAGAAATTAATAAAACATGAAGCAACCTAGTCCAATGTTGTAATATTAGGATATACATTTCCCCAAAAAACTGAATAGACATGCATCCCACGGCAACCTAGACTGGCTAGACATGCTTCCCATGGCAAACAATGTCAGATATGGATTCTGCACGCACATTATTGCCTGTCATTGGTTCTTCTAATGTTAATCAGTAAAAAACTCATGTACAGTTCATGATCACGTTCTGCAATAATTTTATGTTATATTACCATATTTGGAAATGCACAAATCTTGATTGTGGTGAAAATCTAAGTGCTTGTTTTAATTGAGAATGACTTTCTATGAGATTTCAGTTTTCATGATATTGTTGAGTATTTTTCTTATTCTTACACTCACCATACAATACAAGTCTTGAACTGCTCTGTGCACTTTTAGACAGTGGCTATGAAACCATTTTGTATCTCATCCTAACCAACCTATTTTGCACCTTATAAATTCAAAATCACCTGGTCAGTACTACTTTTTATTGCAAGAGGCAAGATGAAATTAAAGTTGTCTGGGAGATGACTTGTTATATCCAGCTTTCGAGGAATTAAAAGAAACAGAAATACTGCTCATTTTCATCCGCAGAGCATTTTCTTTGGATGTTTTAGTTACATCCTATGGATAAAAACAATACAACTTCTTCACCTGTATGGTTAAGTTCACGTTTCTTACTTTTCTGCTTCAAAGCCATGGTCTTTATTTTGGTTTTAAATGTTATATTGGTTCACTAGTAATTTGACGATTTTATTTTTCCAGACTGCTGCAGAATATGAGCGCCGCAAAGAGAACTTTTTGAACGAGCTAGAAATTGTTTTTGCTGATGTGGTATGGTTGCGTTGTCATTATTATCAATATTCAATTTCTTTGATTCCCTTTGGTTTCAGCTCATCATGGCATTTGTTTTTGCTTCTCTCTGCAGGATGACTGATTTATTTATGATGATGCTTATTATTGTGAATACTTCTCTTTTTCCTTTTTCGGGCTCTAAAGGAATATAAATTGGTTGCAAAAGTTTAATCACATTTTGATTCTTATCCTTATATTTTCATTTTGTCTCCTGCTTAGGTGATGGCTATAATTGCAGATTTTATGCTTGTCTACCTTCCGGCTCCTACTGTTTCTCTCCGACCACCAATTGCAGTGAATGCTGGAAGAATTGCCAAGTTCTTCCACAGCTTTCCAGATAATGCATTTCAGGTAATGGGTTTTCTTAGACACTCGTGCCATTATTGGCATATATAGTTTGAACTAAGAGCAAGATCTTATTATATATTTTTTGTAGGTTGCTCTGCCCGGTATCTCCTATTCATTGTTGCAGAGATTAGGTGCAATAGTGGTAAGGAAATGTCTAATGATTTGCGATTGAAAAAATTTCTGAGTGAAAGCTTGACTGTGAAGCTCATATTTCTATGACTTCTCCACAGCGCAATGGAGCAAAGCTATTTGCTGTTGGGACCACTTCATCTTTGGTAAATTTCCTATTTGGGAGATTTGATGTAATTAGAGTTTCAGTTTGCTGTCCATCATGGATTATGACTGCTCATTCGCAAACATGCCTCGAGATGTTACTTTTCCTTATTTTAAGTGAAAAGAAGTAACTAATTTTGGAAATAGGTCTTCCTCACTGTCAAAAAAAAGTAACTGTTAAAAATATTAGTCATTTAAAACCAACTTGCTTAAAATAGACTTAGATCGTACTATATAGTACAATATATGCAATTTTAACATTTTTTTTTTCTTATTTGATATTGTTTGGTAATGTCTAATCAACCTTACCAAACATGCCGGTAATTTTACTCTCAGTAACTTCTAGCTGCTACATACATTAATTATCTCTGCATGAAGGAGGTATATAGTTTGTTTTTCGTAGCTAATATTTCTTAGAATTACAGATGAATAAATACTTGAGTCAAAGCTAAGAAACATAAATTATTTCATTCATGTCTAGGTTGGCACGGTTGTGACAAATACACTGATAAATGCTCGAAAGGCTGTTGATCACTCTGCTGCGGACGAGGTGGAAAATGTTCCCGTATTATCAACAAGTGTTGCATATGGTGTCTATATGGCAGTATCCAGCAATCTTCGGTATGTGAATTGCACGTAAATTACTCTTTTTTTTTTTTGCATCCTTTTGCTAAGTATAAAGTTTCATGAACGGCTTATTATATTCTGATTCAATTTCTGGATGTAACGTGAATGGCTTCTTCTGTTGTTTAAGATAAAAACCAAGATGTACAAAGATCTGCTGATTTATTTATTTATTTTTTATTCTCCAACAGATACCAGGTATTGGCCGGTGTCATCGAGCAACGAATTTTAGAGCCGCTGCTGCACCAACACAAGTTATTCTTGAGTGCAATTTGCTTTGCCGTGCGAACAGGCAACACATTTTTGGGTTCATTACTGTGAGATTCTTCTTCTCTTTGCATTCGTCTTATTTCATCTTTGTCGTCATTGCATTACAGAATATACACTTTTTGAATGGTTTTGCAGGTGGGTCGACTATGCTCGTTGGATAGGAATTCAAAAGGCTCAAGACGTCGAATCATAAGGTCCACAATGAATGAGTTTGCCTATTTGTTGACATCTCTTAGAAGTAGAGATTGATAGAGTTTTAGGGACTTGTATTTCGGTTTTTTGAAATTCACATATATATTGCTGGCTGATGAAATTGATTACGTTGATGAAAGTTGATTCATTATATATATATACTTCAAAATAGCACGGTCTTGGTGAAATTTTATTGTCCTAGCAATTGGAAATAAAATTTGATACGGCATGGTCTTGAGGAAACCATGGATTTAAGATTTAATCATTAAAAATTAGATTAATTGGTTTTCTTTAGAATGAAATGAACCAGATCACATCCGTTCCTACTTAATATCCTTTTTAATATAGCACTCGTCGATCATTTACATATCACAAATAAAATAATGATTTGAAATATGGAGGATTAAAAGTAGAATAATTCTTGGTGTACATAAAATTTTGTACATAGGGGTGTCCACGGCATCACATGGGGTGGGACCCACTCTTTATGTACACGTAACATGTTGTTGATAGTGATCATTGTCCTTAAATTTTACATAATATTATTAATTTAAATTCTTTAATCTTTGTTTTTGAAACAAATTATTTCAAGAGAGTCCACGTTATCTTGCCAAAATCTTCTTAGAGACTCCTCTTCCTGCCAAAAACCTATGAAGCCAAGTCAAAAACACAACCGAGTTTCATGGTATCTCACAAATCAGAAAAAGCCACCACCTCTATAAATGATTCTTCATGATAGGATACTATAGTTTACATATATTTTCACGTCTCTCTCTTCCTTAGTCCTATCGAGTATCAAATTCAGCGTATCAAATATGGTTTTACACATTGTGCATCATGCACAGTGTCCTTTACTCTCTTTTACATTCCATGTCGTTATTCCAGCTGGTCGTCCGCTTAGTTTCCCAACACTGATGGGATTGTGCATGGTGCATGAAGGGTCCGCTCTATTTTACATTCCATGTCGCTACTCTGGCTAGCCGTTTCCTTAGCTTTACCACGACACGAGGGTACATCTTGAAAACATTGTGCATGGTGCATGAAGTGTCTCTTTTACATTCCGACTGGCCGTCTCCTCAGCTTTCCCACCATTAAACGGGATTCGACATGAGGGTACATACTTTCCTTTTTATTCACATCTTCATGTGTTTCTCTACATTATAATGACATTTTTATTTATTTTTTTTCATTCTTGCAGAGAGATGATTGAATAATGGGTAGGATTCACAAGAAATTTGTAGGATTTTCATGGCATAAGAACTTGAAGGTTTCGTGTTCTGTTACTCCGTTTATATTTTATTGTCACGAATTACTTATAATACACGGCTCTAAGAAAGTGGGTTAGAAAGTTTTCAATATAATTTTATCCTAGTTTTATGTGAAATTCGAGTATGTTATATTCACTTTCTTCGTAACGATAAAAAAAACACCTAATTAGGACTAGTGCATGGCTTGGAGTACTTTTTTTTTCCCCTTTTCTTAAGGCTTCTACGAATGGTAAGATTAGACTTATAATTTACAAATTTTTTTCACGTATTTGTCTTCCTTAATCTTATCGAGTCATCCTATTCAGCGTATCAAATGCCCTTTGTGGTCTGGGGCGGATTCAGTATAGGATAGTAGGGTTAGCTGTCCCCACACTAAATCAAAAATGCAGGATTTTGCCCTCCATTTTGCACAAAATTTTCACAAATTTTCTTATAGTTTTTAACTTATAGCCCACACTTAAAATTTTGTGAAATTTGCCTCCACAACCTCAAACTCCTAGCTCCGCCCCCTTGTGGTTGAACACATTGTGCACGGTGTAACATTCTAAAACTCAAATCTATTTTTCTCTCTCTTTTATGTTCTTTGCCACATAAAAACATATCCAGAAATAGGAAAAATTGATTCGTACTTAAATACTCCAACCCTAAATCACTGAAACTATAGAAATGATAGTCCATCGAAGCGATCAGAAATATCGAAATGACAGTCTGAAGAAGCGAGCAGCGGACACTTGGTTCGTAGACCCTTTTCGTAAAAGAAAAGGGATATCTCAAATGACACCAGGGTACAAATGAACAGATGAATAAGGATTACGGAACGTATGTACAAATGAATACATTAAAATTTTTAATTGTTTTGATAAAGTTTTTATGTCATATGTAATTTTTTTTTTATATTGTAATGTCACATGCAATATTTTTTTAAAATGTGATATTAAGTGTAATATTTTTAAAATTTATTTTAATAATTTTAGTGGTAATATATATGTAATTAATAATTTTTAATAAATTAGTTGTTGAGAATTAACAAATTAGGAAAGAAACAGAATATTTTTCTGGTATAACATTGGCTCAGAGATGATTATATAAGATAGAATAATGCTATTCATTTCCATTGGGGATTAAAATACAGTCTACGCGGTGTCATGTGAGTTGAATGACATTACTCTAAGATAAGAGTAATTGTCAAATTTTTATAATTTTGATAAAATGAGTTGAAGATTGTCCAAGTAAATGCAAAAAAATAAAAATAATAAAAAATAAAAAATAAAAAAATAATCGAAGAATAATAAGGTTTGTATGCCATTTTCTCGACTGAGTGTCTTTTCGAAATAAATAAATGTAAAAATGCAAGTCATAGTTTAGATTCATCACAAGTTCTTATAAGTTAACAACTTTTATAATAAATTATTAAAATCAGATGTTTAACAAAATCAAGGAATATATTTGACAAATAAACAACCTTAATAAACCAAAAAAAAATAAAAAAATAAAATTATAACGTTATATCGTGACTTTGATGCTCTACTAGTGCCACGAAGTATGATAAAGTCGATATCATTTACCGAGTCTTTCATGGTATCAACAAATTTTAAATGTAAATTGTTGAATATTTTTAAATAATAATTATAATTAAAAAGCATAAAAGAATGTAACAAATTTTAACTTATTTTTCACTCGTAATTATGTAGATCGCGTTTATCAAATTATAATTTATATATATCTGAATGAAATGTTGATATATATCGTTTGTTATTTTATCTCAAAATTTGAATTCGAATTTGAATATACAACAAACTCTCTCTTTTTCAATTTTTATATCTATCTAAACAAAATTTTGCGTTTGATAACAAAATCTTTTCGTCCTTATAAATAGGAGAGGCGATGACTCTGATTTTCATGATAGCCATGCATTCTGGTCAGCCACCAGAGGCAAATCTCATTGCCTCTGGTACAAATCATCTTCATTCCACGACTCAGCTGAAAAAATGTTCATCTGCAGGAAATGAACCAATTTATACTCGTTGGTTTCCTCCAGGATATAGGTTTATTCCTGAAGACGAAGAACTTATTCTTCATTATTTAAAGAGTAGGATTATGAATAAGCCAATGCCGTATAGCATTATAAGAGATGTCGAGCTTTACAAGCATAATCCTCAGGATTTGACAGGTCTGTTCAAACATTGTTTTCAACATTTTAGGGTTTCAATCTTGACCGTATGACTTCTGATCTATTTTAAGTACTTTTTCTTGCAGAGAAATTCTCGGATAATGGAATAAACTCGTGGTACTTTTTCACCCCAAGGGATCGAAAGTATAAAAATGGTAGCCGACCGAATCGAGCAGCAGGCAGTGGTTACTGGAAGGCAACAGGAGCTGACAAGCTTATTTATTATAACAATGAACTCATTGGAGCCAAGAAAGCATTAGTTTTTTACGAAGACAAACCACCTAAGGGAAAGAAAACTAATTGGATCATGCAGGAGTATAGAGTCCATCAACCTCCCAGAGTGAAACAATTTGAAGATGACATGAGGGTACTCTCTGAAGCCTCTTTGAGTTCAAGTTTCTTATTTCAGCACTCGATTTTTCCGGTTATTAATGTTTTATTTCACTTCTTTGCAGCTTGATGACTGGGTTTTGTGTAGGATTTATAAAAAAGAAGAAAAATCCATTCCAAATAAGAGACAAAGGATCGATGAGGATCATGAACTAACTCAAACAAACACTAATCCTGAAGCAATAGTGTGCAAGAAAATCGATTTTCAAGATGGAAATGTGTTGAAGAATCGTTTGGGAAATTGTCTTCCAAGCCATTTCGATAACACATTTGCTGATGATCATGCTTTAATTAATTCTAACTGCAATTTTGATTGTTATGATCTTGCATCAGCAAGTTTTCCGTATGAGAATTCTGCTTTCAGATCCAAGTACTTGCAACAAGAAATGGCCAGTAAGGAATTTGAAGAGGATGTTTTGGGAATTAATCTAGATAATTTCGATTCTGGTCCTTATTTAGATTCGTTCTCGGGTTTTGACAATGTTTTGATTGATAATTCTTTTAACCATCTCGTTGATCCTCTACCGACTTACTACATTGGTGAGAATTCAATGCCCAACAACGTAGAGGTTCCTCTTCAAGGTTCGTCTACGGAAGATGATTCAGATGAAGAATTTAGTAAAATTTTAAAGGGCGAGTTTAGAAAACATTAGTAGATTCTAAGGGTTGGTTGAATTTTCATTGGATGTAGTAATGGAGATACATTTTGATCTCATTCTTTCTTAGGTCCATTTTCTTGTTTCACGTGTCACCTAATTAATTAGGTTTAGGTGCATTTTCTGGTTTCATTTGTTATGTTTTTAGTTCCTAATAATAATATTAGGAGAACTTTGTACAAAGTTCTTTTGGTATTATTTTTTTCTTTTTTATGTTGTGATCAATTATTTTTTAATAATAATAATTATATATGTATTAGTAATTAATATACATTTATTTATAATAATGTTCTATATATTTCAAAAAGGTTGTTGATAAAAATATAAAATTTTATGGCATAAAAAAATATTAAAATTTTCAATATTTATAATATCATTTGTTAGTTATTATATATATTTCAAAAAGGTTAAACGGTTAGAAATTACAAGATAGTTTCTTTTTATATTTTTTTATCTTCAAAAAATTCATCAACAAGTCATATTCATAAAAAAAAATGAAATGTAACTGTGCAGCAAG